TGAAAAACCCATCATATGCTTTTTCTTACTCTGATCTCACAACCACTGTGTTAGTCTGGGGACTTTAGAGAAACAAATCCACAGAAACTCATGTATAAGAGAGACTTTCATATAAAGGTTAAGTGCACATCAAGAAAACATCCCAGCCCAGTGCTGCCCAAACCCACAAGTCCAACATTAACTCATATGTCCGACACCAATCCATAAAGTCCTCCTCCATCTCACAAAACACATGCAATGACGCCGACTGCAGGAGGAAAGCCAAATCAGTATGTGTAAGTATCTCAGCGCTGGCTTCTCCGCCCTTCAATTAACCCCACATGTGTTTATCGGCTAGGTTGGCACAATAAACTTTAACTATATCAACCACCTTCTGAATCTTCACTTCACAGCAGCATGAGCGGATGTGCAGAGCGGTATAGTGACTTGCCCAAGGCCATGACCACATTGCTAAAAGGTGGAATTGGGATTTGAACACAGTATGTATAATTCTAAAGAAAAACTTCATGACAACTGGGCTATTCTGTCATGAGCAGTGTTGGACACAGAGATGACTCCCATGAATGGATGGATGAGTGGATGGGTGGATGAATGCATGAATAGATGGGTGAATGAATAGGTGGATGGATGAGTAGATGGATAGATGGATGAATAAATAGGTGGGTGGATGAGTGGATAAATGCATGGATAGATGGTTGAATGAATGAATGGGTGGATGGATGGGTGGGTGGGTGGATGGATGAGTAGATGGATAGATGGATAAGTGCACAAATAAATGGATGAATGAATAGGTGGGTATGGATGAGTGGACAGGTGGATGAATGCATGGACAGATGGATGAATGAATGGGTGGATGAATGGGTAGGTGGGTGGATGAATGGGTAGGTGGGTAGATGGCTGGTTGTGCAAATGAATGTATAGGTGGTTGGGTGAGTGGATGGGTGGTGGGAAGAATGGTGGATAGATGAGTGGGTGAGTGGATGGGTGGTTGGAAGAATGGATGGGTGGGTGAATGGGTAGGTAGGTGAATGGATGGATGGGTGAGTAGATGGGAGGGTGAGTGGATGGGTGGTGGGATGAATGGGTGGGTGAATAGGTGGGTAGGTGAATGGATGGATGGATGGGTGAGTAGATGGGTGGGTGAGTGAATGGTTGGATGGCAGATGGTGTGACAATGTGCCGAGGAGATGGACGATGAGCAGAAAGGGAAGGGAGGGGCAGCATTTTGGCAGAGAAGTGAGACAAGGTGAGATGCTGAGCAGTTATGCACTATCCTATATTGAAGGGGCCCTGGAGGCGCCTTGGGGCGGGTCCTGAGATGCTAACCACGGGTCATCAGTCCAAACCCATGAGGTGTTCTGGGGGAGAGAAAGATGCAGCTGTCTCTCCCATGAAGCCACACAGCCTCAGAAACACGAGAGGGTCACTGTCTGTCCGAGGCTATTGGACGATGGCGTCTTCATTTGTTTGTCTCTTTGCTATTATGTACCGGGAGCTGAATGAAAAAGTATGGTCAGAAAGGGCAAGGCATGGTGGACCTCTGCTCCAGGGACCTTCCCTCAAAGCCCAGACAGTTAGCTGCAGAGCCTAAGAGAGCCTAATTCCTCAGGGCCACTGCTGCAGGGGACGTCAGCCAGGGAAGACACGGAGCTCAAGCAGGGAGGGGGTCTTGGCTGGGTTGGCCCCAGTCCCCACCCCACCATGCTTCTCTCTGGGGAGCTTCCCCTCCACTCCCAGCATGCCCACAGCACCAGCCATAGAAAGGTATGCATCCCGGCCAGTGCTTACAGCTTACTCCCCAATTTGCTGGCTTGTACCTCACAGTCTCAACTTGGGAAATGGAGTGACCCACGGGAGGCAGACCTTCATGGGGACACACTGGTGACCAGGGCTGACAGCTGACACACTATTTCTCCAATCTTGACCCAGCTTCACGCCCCACTCCTCAGCCCTGGTGACACAGTGGTTAAAGCGCTTGGTTGTGAGGCTAACCAAAAGGCCAAGGTTCCAGTCCACCAGCCGCCCCTCAGGAGAGAGCTGTGATGGTTTCTTTCCATAAAGAGTCACAGGCCTGGGAACCCACAGGGGCCGTTCTACCCTATCCTATAGGGTCGCTATGGGTCGGAATCAATTGGACAGCAGTGGGGTTTGTTTTTCCACCCAGCCTCTCTGGTTGCTCAACCCGACAGGTCCACTCACTGGTCAGAGAGCAGCCCAGGACAGTCTCAGGATCCCGGCCTTCCCAGCTCGTAGTTGCCGTGATCTTGAGGAAGCCATCGTCTCTGCAATTCCCCTCACCCCCACCCTAATGGCCTTTGGCTGATGAGCGTGGGCAAGAGGAAGTGGGAGAAGATACTGATAGGAGTCCCTTGTGAGTGTGGTCAACAGGATTCCTGTGATGGTCCTCCTGCTGGGTAGAGCATGAACCCTCTCGGCGGCAGCAAGAGGGATCTCAATACCAGCAAAGAAGAACAGCCAGGAATGGAGCATGTCACGTGGACCCTGAGATCCCTGCCCATCAAAGCTCCTTGATGCAGGAAGTGGCAACAGTGGAACCAGGAGCCAGAGCCGGAGGCAGGATGGTGGACTTGCCAGTCCACGCAGCAAGTTAAGCTGAGTGAAGGCTTTGGGGCAAGAGGCTGGCTGGTGGAGTGGGGTGCCTCCGTGCACTTAATCGAGGGAGTTGGGCTTCTTGACCCACGGAGCCGGAGCGGGGCCCGAGTGCCTTCAGGGTGAGAAGGCAGAGCGGCATGCCCTTTGGGCACCCCTTGGCAGCCCTGAAAGAGCTTTGTGACGTTGCCGGAGCGGGACAGAGCCCAGGCCAAGTGGCTGAGGGCCAAAGAGGCCTACCTGTGGGCAGGGCAGAGAAGCAGCTGTCCTGACCGGACAGCTCCATCCTGAGCGTTTCTCGCCTGAATGGTAACCTGCTAACTCATGAATAAACCCCATAACTGTGAGCCTCGCCTGCGAGTTCTGAGTGACCACTGCGATCCATTCCCAACACAGTCACAGAAAGAGAGTGCTGTGGGAGGGACAGCTGGTGTCAGGATTGGCCAGGATGGTTGGACGGTGGGGGCCGGGATGCCCTCTGCCTGGTGGCAGTCGGCCCTGGGAGACCCCCACACCATATCCCCAGTAACCACTCACCCTTCCCTGAGCCCAGCTTCACCCTGCATGGAACTGATCGGTCCTGGTCCTGTGTGCGGTGAGGGCCCAGGGACCAACAGCTTCTGTCGTCCTCATGACTCTTCTGTTGGCCCCCTCCGGGGTCCCAGGCCACCCTCTCTCCCACACCCCTGCCCCCAGACCCCACATGACGTCAATGAGTGCCCCTCCTCTTCAGAAGCCCCCAGTCTACGAAACAAATCACAGGCGATGGTGGCTGAACGAACAGTGGGGTTGGTCTGATTGGCTCGTGCAGGACAAGAACGAGGGCAGGGAAACCCCAGAGTGTACAAGTGCAGGGCCAACTCTGCTCCCCACCTGTCCCACCTATGAAGCCCCACTTATCTCTGGAAGTATTCAGCCCCCGAGAATAGTCAGGTGGTGTCCAGGCCATTGAGATTAGAAGCATCTCTTTGCAAAAGCGATTCTGCCCGGGCCTTGGCGGATACAAGTCAGGGGTCTATGTAGCCCCCGCAGAGGGAAATGAAGACCCTCAGACACTAGGGCAGGCTTGGTATGTGTGTGTGTGTGTGTGTGTGTGTGTGTATGTGTGTGATGATGTGGGTGTATACTGTGCATCTGTGTGTGCATATGTGTGTGTACGTGCATGTGTGTGTGATGATGTGGGCGTGCACTGTGCATCTGTGAGTATGCATGTGTGGGACCTTGTGAATGTGCACAGGGTTTGTGTGTAGGCATGTGGGATGGGGCACTGATGGCACGGTGGTTAAGCGCTTGGCTGCTAACCCACCCAGAGGCTCTGCGGAAGAGAGACCTGCAGTCAGCTCCCATCAGGCCTGATGGGGTGTAAACTCTGCTCTAGAGAGTCGCGAGGAGCCATGGATGGTGGCATAGTGATAATGAGTTGGGCTGCGATCTTCAAGGTCTGAAGTTCAAAGCCACCAGCCGCTCCTTGGGAGAAAGACGAGGCTCCCTACTGTCAACAGTTAGTCAGTTCGTCTCAGCCATGCACCGGGCAGTTCTCCCCTGTCCTGGAGGGTCTGGTCTATACGAGTCAGTATGGAGTTGACGACAGTGAGAGTGTGACAGCCCTGCCCCCAGTCTCTTGGAGTCTCGGTGTGGCAAAGGGTGTGTGTGTGTGTGTGTGTGTGTGTGTGTGTGTCTGTTGAGTGTATAAGCAGCCCTAGTGGTGTGACGGTGATGCGCTCGGCGGCTAATCGGACAGTCAGCAGTTGGGGCCTCCCCTGAGGCTCTGCTCCCTTGGAGTCTGTGTTCTAGAGAAAACCGGTCACAGGGGGCTCTCTGTGAATTGGAACCCACAGAGCACAGCGTGCGACTGTAACAAGATGTTTGCGGGTGTGTCTACCGGAGCCCCTGAAAGTACCCAACATGCCCTCTCCTGCTGCCTCCAAACCCCTGCCTGGCAGCCCCCAGAGAGTCACTGGGCTGCCCCTCGGGGCATCGGCGCTCACGCAGAAACAAAGAAACAAACGAATCCGAATCAAACTCCCTGTCATTGAGCCAAGGCGGCCTCCCAGGGATCCGGCAGCACAGGGCAGAACTGGCCCCGTGAGGGGACACTTGCCCTGTCTTTCTCCGGCATCCAGTAGAGGGGGTGGAGTGTGACAGATTCCCTCTTTCTGCAAGTGGACGGGGGGAGATGTTTCTTCAGGGCAGGAGGGACCCCACAACTGCGTGATCAGGGAGCATGGAGTCTCAGGGAGCTCCCAGCAAGATGCCTGAGGCCAGAGCCCCCCAAGTGCCCAGCCCAGCAGGGACTGGTGAAGACATGATGGCGGGCAGGCACGGAGCCTCCCCTGGAGGTCGGGGAGTGGGGTACGGAGCTGGGCCCCTGGTCACTGGCTGCCCCTTACCTCTCTTGAAGGCCCACTGCTTCCACCACAGCTTGGAGAGGGCAGGCCAGGAGTGGTTGAGCACGGAGTCAGCCATGGGGCCCGGTGGGTGAGAGTGAGAGCGGCAGGGATGTGGCTGGATTCAGGCGGGGGATCCCTGCCAGGACGGCTCCCAGCATGAGGGGCGGGGCCAGACAGCCGCCTCCAGGGATGGGAGCTGGAATCTACAACCTGGGGGCAGGGCTGGAGGACCCCAGCCCGGGGGCGGCCAAACTCTCTGCCCCCACGCTCACCCCCCCAGGAACTTGGTTGGGGTCTTGGGGTCTGGCTGGACATGTCTAGTAGTGTAGGGTGACAGCAGGATGGGAGCAGGCACTGGGTATCTTCAGAAGCGAAGTGCAGCCTGGGCCAGAGCTGAGTGTCCCCATGGGTGTGTTTGACACCCTCTCTGGGGGCTTGGCAGTGCCAGGGAGAAGCCACGGTCACTGGGCCCGGTTCAGCCACCCTGGAGGACAAGGAGGACTGCCCTGTCGGTGTCAGGTGAAGTCATTGTTGTTAGGTGCCATCGAGTGGGTTCCGACCCATAGCGACCTTCTGCACAACAGAAGGCAACCTTGCCCCGTTCATCCTGCGGTTAAGTTGATGGGCAGGGACAAAGAGGAAGGCTCTACTGGGATGGAGTGACACAGCGGCTGCATCAATGTTCTGTTGTGCACAGGGTGCTATGGGCGGGGACCGATTTGATGGCCCCTAACAGATCTATACGGGAGCAGAGGCTCCTCTCTTGCTCCCGGAGAGCAGCTGGCGGGTTTGAACCGTAGACCTTCCGGTTAGCAGCTCAGTGCACAGCCCACTGGGCCCCCAAAGGCGGCGGCTCCAGGTAAAGAGGGTGGGCTTTCTGGTCGGTGAGGGTTGCGTGCTGGTCTTGAGGGTCAGAGCCTGTGTCTGGGCGGGTGCCGGCGTATCCGGTGGGTTTCTGAATCTCTGCTGCGCATGTCTAAGGGGGCATGTGCGTGTCCTATCTGTGGGGTGCATCTCCAGGGCTCCTGGGGTGTCTCTGTGGGGAGGGGTGGGTGTCAGCCTGCCATTGGGCGACTGGCCTTGTCTCCTCGTGTATTCGTGCGTGCACACCTGCTGCCTCCTGGTGGTAGGAGTTCCCTGGCTGCACCTTCACTCCTGGGACCCAAGGCATTCTTCCCATCTCCTGCTTCCTCTCATCCGCTACCCCAGCCTCTCACAGAGCCCTTCTGTGATGCCCCAGCCCCAAACCAGGAGGGGAAAAAAACCCCAAAACCCAAACTGACTGCCATCAAGTCAATACTGATTCAAAGTGACCTGATAGGACCGAGTAGAACAACCTCTGGGAGTTTCTGAGTCTGTAACTGTTTACAGGAGCTGCTGGTGGTTTCGATCTGCCGACCTTGCAGGCCGCAGCCCCATGCAGAACCACCATGCTGCCAGGTCTCCTTGAAGAGAAGGAAGGGCAGGATTAAATGGCCCTCGAGGGGGCTTGATAGGGAGCCCCGGTGGTGTGGTTGGTTACACATTGAGCTGTGAGCCACAAGGTCAGCAGTTTGAACCCAGCCACCACTCCGCGGGAGGAAGATGAGGCTGTCTGCCTTCATGACGATTTAGTCTTGGAAACCCACAGGGACAGTCCTACTTTGTTCCACCAGGTCCCCTTGGGTCTGAATTGACTGGGGGGCAGTGGGTTTGGTTTGTGATTTGGTGTACACCTGTTGTGCCTAGCCTCCCGGCTCACCCTCGCACACCTGAAGGGAGGGGTTGACACCTTCCCTTCTGCTGACACAGATTGAATTGTGCCCCCAGCCCCATCTCTAACGCGTGTCAACGTGGCTGGGCCACGAGCCTTGGACGTTGGCCTGAGAGCGATGAGGTACTGCGGCGGTGATGACCGAATGGCCCCCCAGGATATGATCTGTTGCGACAAGCCCACGCTTGTAAGAGGATCCAGGGTGGTCTTGCCACCGCCGCGCCTGATGCGTGGGGGTTTCCCTGAGTGTGGCCCGCCATGCCTTCTCTCCTGTGGTCAAGGAGAGGCCAGTGCCTGGAGGAGGAAGGCCCTCAACAAGATGGATGGACACCGTGACCGCAGCAATGGACTCAGGCGTGGGAACCACGTGAGGATGGCGCAGGACCGGGCGGTGTTACCTTCGGTTGGGCACGGGGTAGCTATGGGTCGGAGCTGACTAGATGGCACCTAACAACACCAACAAGTGCGCTAGGCTCTGCACTAAGATTTTATAGGCAAGGCCTTATGACAGACAGACAACGCTCTCGCCAACGAGCAGACAGGCCCCGAATGGTTAGGTCATTTACTGGTTCAGTCAGGACAGCACAAGTGGAACAGACCCCAATTGGCAAAACTGGGGTTCACTGGAATGATAACCGGAGCAGGAGTGGGAGACTCGGAAGAGGCACAGTGAATCCTTGCAGGAACCTAATGCAGGAGACTGGATTATTCCCGGGACTGTGGAGAGCGGCACACCATCCAGCAGTGTGGTCAGCCACCATCGCGAGCCGGGCACTGTTGGTCCCACTGGGTGGGGCAAGAGATTTGGCTGCTATGTAACAGGCTTGTTTCCTAGGAAGAGGTCTCAAGTAGGGCGTGGACCCATAGTGTCACCCTGTCTGGTTACCGTTCCAGCAACCTAACATCTTACAAACCGGGGTCATTTTGTTGAGCCAGTTTGAAGCCCTGGTTGTAAACCGGCTTCCTCAAAACACACAACGGCATGCCAATCATTGTGGAATCCAGACTGCTGAATCCACTGAGGCTGGACGACCCCCCAAAATTACTGTCCCGAGGAAGCCTTTAAACCTCAAGCCCAAATTACCCCTCACCTTCCTTAAACACAGACGCCAGCCTCCAGCCCCGCGTCCTTCTGAAACACTGTCTATATGAGCTCCGGCTGCCATCGTGAAAGGTTGCCCCAGAAGCTCAGGTGAGTGTGTGTTCGTGAGGACGAGAGGATTCAGGGAAGGCCGAGGAGGAAGTTGGCGCAGCTGGCAGAATGCCAGCAGTGCTCCCGTAGGTCCATGTAGCAGTGGTTAAACGGATGCCTGGTGTGTTTGCTCCTGTCCGCACACAAACAAGCCTGCCTCTTTCTCCGTCTTCACGCACTCACCACTCCATCTGTCTTTTTTCCAAGACGCAGATTGATAAAAGCCAAACGGCATGAAGAAGCCTGCCTCCTCCAGGAAGCTCCCCTAGCAGGGTGGCAAAGTGTGGTAGTATGGGGCCCAGCAGCTGCTGGCCACGGAGCCCACCCTCTTCCGGCTCTCCACCCCCCTTGTCTCAATCCCCGTTTCTCAGTCACAGGTCACCCAGGGGGCTGATCACGGTGGAGAATCAGACCCCTGAGTGTGACTTCTGAGCCATGTCCCGATGTGGTCCCTGGCCTAAGCCACCAGCCTCATCCTCCCTGGACCCAACCTCTCCAAGTCTACCCCCTCCCAGCTCCCAGCAGCCCCTGGGTGGCTGCTGCTGGCCCCTCGGCAGTACAGGCAGGGTTGGGAGGAAACTGGGGGAGCTGGGTGTACCCGGCACAAACCGCAGGCTTCCTCCCTCACCTCACCCCACCCTACCCTAGGCAGCTGCATCAGGAGGCTTTCCAGGAGGCCCAGGGCAGGGAAGAGGGGGATGGGGGGATCCCCATGGGGGAGAGCAGCATGGTAGGGGGTGACCTTTGAAGATGGGATGAGCCTCAGCTCAGGGGGTTCTCAGACGTCCGCCCCAAGCACACGTTTTGCTTCAGATGTTGCATTTTCCAGCCTACCCCACTGCTCCGGGGCGTGGGGGCGGGGTACATGGGGACCCCCGGACCTGCATGTGACCTGATGAATTCTCCTTGCTTCCCAAGCAAGCCTGGGCCCCAGGGGGCCTCCATCCCACATCACCCCCTCCCCGGGT